TATGCGGCCCTAGTCAGGCTAGAACACTTAATACATGAGTTTGTTCACATGTGAGAACACATTCGTACCGTGGATTTTATAATAAACTCCGTATACCGTTACCTGATAAGTGATAGGGTAGCTACAGTTTGTCCAGTAACTTTACAGATGTAATCCGACGAGAAGCTCATCGCATGGGACACAAAGCTTGCAAACCGGGACAACATGGAGATGGTAATAAGCAAATTAGTATAATCCTTTTTTCAGATTGTCAACTTTGCACAACTTAGTGGCAAATCGCTGTTCGATAACATGCTCGACATCCTTCAGACGCTTATGACAAATGCGCTGGCACCTCAAGTGAATTGGCAAGGTATTCATGCTAAGCAACACATTTAGGGGCACCGTGGCAAGTGATATAATGGGTTACTACACACTTACTTGAAATAACCTCCCATACAGATGAAGTTCCGCGCAAAATTCAATGGACGTACCGAAAGTGTAATCCTCAACCAAATTCCCGCAGGATACAGCGCAACCAAGAGCACGAGACCTTCTGCAGAAGCTCGAAGGTACCACTCCCGGACCCAGTATACGACCATCGCAACCTTTTAGTCACTTTTATTTTATTCGCTTGTTAACGATTTTGGCCTTAACGAAAACAAATGTGAGAGTTAGTGGAGATTACTGATGAGCACGACTCGAAACTGATGGTAGACCGGATAGTGATTCGGAAGAACGAATGGCGGATTGCTGGGGAAAATCTTCTGAGTGTCAGAAACTTATGTCAATTGGACAGCTTTTTGGCGCCTATCGTAAGGCGATGTTGGCAAGGAACCCATTTTATGCGCAATTCCGGTCTTCAGGTCTTGTTTTCTGTGAAAAGTAGTTTTTACTGGTCTACAAACCACCGGTGTAAGTACTGCTTTAAAGCATAGAAGGGAACTGACTCTTTATTGCATCTTTGTTACTACTTTTGAAAGCGAGCTTCTTTATTGGATACAAGGTAGAACAATGATATCTACAACTACCGTATACTAACGAATATAAGCCGATAATTTCTGGACCATTTTTTTTCTGTAGAGAGGGGTCGGCTTATAAAATGGCTATAATGAATTTGAAGAAAAGTTGCATGCAAAATGCATCCAGGAGTTCACTACCCACCAGTACTTACCTCAACCTAGCACCATCTGCTACTGACGGACGGTTTTCTAGGCAAGATTTTTACTTGTGAATGGAAGGATTTTGGTGGGTATTTTTGTTCGTCGCAATCAGCCGACAATTCAGATATGTCGATCAGCTGTCCGGTGCCTGCATGGCAGTGGAGGATGCGTCGGGCTATATCGCATTTAGCTAACAATTCACGATAGTCAGGTACCGTCCTCCATGGCGCAGTTGCATAAGCTGCGGGCTAGTTGGCAAGAGCCACTAGCAGTCATGGGTTCGATCCTCCATAGAGGACCGAAGGATGCGCACCACTGGTGAGCCCCAATAGGGCGAAACGGCCGTCTGGTGCTTTTCCGGACAGCTGATCGGCATATCTGAATTGTCGGCTGATTGCGACGAACAAAGATTTTTACTAATTTAATAGTATATGATAGGAGAAAAAGAATAACTTCACAAGCCCTATAGGATGGATATGCAAAAGAAAATTAAAAGCACAATGTTCCAACGTGGAACATGGAATATCAGTGGTTACTTTGCCCTTAATCAAACTGTTGTGTAGCATTTATCACCGATAAAAGTCTAATAGTCTTTCGAATGTCGTGATGTCTAGTGTGTTCACCACATATATTTGTAACGCATTCCAGCGGGATCAGATACTATGTGAGTAAAAATACTTTCTACAGTTCAAACGGGAGTGTTGCGTCATTAGTTTCAGGTAGTTGCCTCGACTTTGTCTCTAAGGGGCTAGGGTCAGCAGTGATGTACACCAATGCTCGTTTCAGTTGGTATCCGGTATGTGAGGATGCGATTTCCGCCAGGTCGTCCGTAGTCTGAGGAGAACACACCGAGTACACTAAGACGCAGTTCGTGACTGATACCGCATAGTTCACGCGCTGTCCTTGTTGCTCTACTTTAGGGTCGCTCCAGCAGGCGAATGTGTCGTTTTGACGATGGACACCCGGCCTGAATTACATATTCAACGTGAGGACGAATACACGCGTTGATCAGCATTGGTACTAGCCGTTGTTCAGAGGCGCCCAAAGCTAGCCTATAAATCGACACGCTGGTTTTGTCGAAAATTCTTGGTGTACTGCACATTTGACGTTCGCGAGGGATGACAGTAGCGAATCAAAAGCATTTAACATTATGTTATGACAGGCGATCCGGTGTCTTAGAAGTACGTCGTCACAGTTCTCTGACAGTGAACTTTGCTCTCACCCAATGCTCTATAGTTTTGTTCACATGCAAGAGGCCTACCTCTCAGCTTACGCTATATTGTCGGCAGCCTTACCTGTTTCATGTTACTTAACATCTGGTCAGTTCACCGTCCGGTGTGGTGAAACTCTTTTCTGACAGCCCTACGCCCCATTGACTGCGATTATAAAATCGTGGTCACCACAACTGACCAATAGTGGATCAGGTTTCACGTGAACACACTCAAGTGAGAGCAGGTAATGATGGCAAAATCGTGGCGAGACATTTTCATTTTTCTTTTGCTGGCTTTTGTGGGGTCGGCTAGTACAGGGACTTACGACTGGATAAATTTGATGCTGCAACCTTATACTGACGGCTCATCTATGCACGGGCTTTTAGTCGGTAATATAGGGTATTTTCTTAAAAAGATATTGTAGCTGAACTCTAATATGAAAAGCCTGATACATCCTCCAACCAGCTCAGCACTGTATCCTTCTTAGCTTATCCGGCTTCTCGACATCATTCCGTCCGCGCAAAACAGGACGGAAGTGGCCAACTGATAGTAAGCTGGTCCGACCATTCGCATAATTTGATGTGTTCACACCATCTCGGTTTGAGCAATACAAAGCTCGAACTGATGCCAAAATATTTCCTGGTCACCCCGCCTTGATAGCTCATTGAGCCACCTGTATTGCGCCGACGGATGCGCCAGTGCCGTTGAAAGTGAAATCACCACCGGCTACATTACCAAACAAGTCACCGCAGCACCCGAGTTTCACGTGGCAGTACATTTCGTGAAACACAGATCTGGAGTAGTAGGTGTTTTTAGTTGCCTTGCGTACGTGGCTTTATGAAAACAACCAATAATACACACGATATCAGATTGTAAATGATCCACAACAACTAAAAATGGCATCAAGACTATATCGGCCCATCGAACCGACGCTTCGTTGCCACATGACCACCTACGGTCGTGCTTGGGCTGAGTATACTGCGAGGTCTCCTGCATTCACGCGAATTCGAACCGGCGATGCTTGCGACAAGCAAAAGCCAAAGGGATTTACTACGGAAAAACCACAACGAGTAACTGATGAAGGCAGATCTATGGAAGCTTTTAGATGAATACGAGGAACCACTCTTCCAGTTATCCTAAGTATACACAACTGTTTCAATCCCTTAAAGCAATGAACGTGATATCTATATGAACTTACTATATAGATCAGCAATGAGGTACCGCACATACATACTGACATATATACCAATTCCACAAGCCGAATTGATCACTCTTTAATCTTCTCTTGGATGAGACCATCTGTGAAACACATGTGTAACATTTGATCTCTACCTACGTAGGAACATTCTCGCACCATCGAGAAATAAGTTTTATTCGTTTTGTAAACTGTGGATGAAGAACTGGGTATACCTCACCAAGTGGATATTGGAGAGAGCTGACAGAAAGAAAGAAAAGTCTTTAGTTCCCATAGCGACAGACAATACACCTGAAAACAAATACAGATATTTGGGACCAATTGCGATCTGATATACAGTTCAATAAACACTGCTGTGAAAATGTATAACTTTCCCAGGTTTGACGCGGACCGGAACCTCATGCGACTGTACATAAACTCAGCGAAATGTGGTCATAACGAATGGCGTGACGCGTTTTTCACCCTAGTTGTCACACTTACCTTCCAGAAGTAGGGAACATTGTATCCATACTCTGTATTATATACGACTACGAAAAGTGTACAAGGATTAAGGGTGTATCAGATAATTATTGAAATTTTGGCCGAAATGGAAAAAGGATGTCATTCAGCCGACAACCAGAAGTTAGCCGGTGGCGCAAACGCATAGCGTGTGGGTAGACGGAGCTAATTATCCGGAAGATTCTCTCCGCTTGTGTCTCGAAGGAACATAGTGGAGAACACTGCTAGCAGCATTACCACAGAGTAGATGAGAACTGGGAATCCATGCCACAGGTTTTCACCAGCTGTGTTCACAAAACTGCATATAATACCGCCGATTTTTGATACACACAGAATTAGTCCGAATCCTTGGGATCGTAAGTCGGATGGGTACAATTCCGGGATATACAGTAGGCACATATTCGCGGTCGCTTGTAAAAGAAGTAGCCCGATGTTAGAGCACACAATCAGCACCACCTCTGAGGATTGGTACCAACTCATAGTGTATACAGAGCCTACGGCAAGCACAACAGCTGTCATGCACATAAGTGATAAAAATGGACACCTTCGTGATCGAATAAATCTATAGAAAAGAAAAAATACCATCAGACCGGGAATAGCGGTAGCAGCGTTAAAGAAGCCCACTGCATAAACGTAATGTCGCACCGCTCTAGCGTAGAACAGTAAGCCAGGAAGACACATTGTAATGCAAGTCAGAATCATAGTTCCCAAGATGGTTTCTTTGACCAGATGTCGACTGGTGATGGAGTTGAGCGTGGAGCAGCTACACAAGCGACGCGTGAGTCGCGTGTCCCGAAGCTCGCCATTTGCCTTCGCTTCCATGACCGGTTTATCTGTCATCTCAGCCCAAACCATGAGTTGCTGCAGTTTTTGCCAATTATCCTTATTTCTTTTAAAGTGATTCACACGATAGGCGGTGTACAACACTTTCATGCCATCTTTGTACCGCTTTTGGGAAAACAACCATCTTGGGGACTCAGGAAGAAGGAAGAAGTATAATATGCTCAATAATCCTGGGCTTACGACAGCAATGTTGAGCCACCTCCAGTTTGGGATATAGAAGGCACACAAGGCCATGAGGGCCCGATACATGAAGGCGATTCCAAGTGATAGCATAGCGCGAAATGTGGACCTGTACTGAGCTAAAGTCAGTTCCAGCAGTAGAACGCCTGCAATATTTGCTTTGCCCGTGCTTCCAAGGTTGATAATAAATCGAGATAGCACGTAGCTAGTGTAATCTCTTGCACATGACGACCAAATGCCGCTAATAACTTCAATCAGGGAAAGTAAGAGCAATGCGAATTTTCTACCATACCGCCCTGCCCACCATCCAGCTAGCAGACTTCCAGCAGCCGCCCCGCACATGTATAACGAAGTCCCCAGGGGAACGAGCCACGCGCGGTCGCAAAATGTTTCGAATTCGATTACCACATTTCCTGGATAGTAGTGGGGATTTTCTTCCTGAACGTACCCAAGCACACATGGTTCTAATTCTTTCGTCAGTGTTTCATTATGTCTTGGCTGAAACACCTTCTCTAAATCAATTGTAGTCCAGTTCAGTTTATAACGAAAGCATCCTCGCCCTCCCTCTGAGGTATAAGGTGGATCCAGATTCCAAGGCCCTATACCAGACGAAACCTCCTCAAAAGACAGGTTTCGTTCTCGTATGAATAGTTCCACACTTGATTCCATTCGACAGCGATGTGGAGGACTTGAATTTGCGTAAACGGGGAATGTCATTACGGAAGTGCAACTGAACATAAGAAGGAGAACAATGCCCCATTGCCAAAGCCCGCTGGGATGAACCAACTCTCGTAGGATCTTGTCGACGTTAAATGCAGAGTCTATGACCAATCCCCCATTGTCTTCCGGCACGGAATCCATGCACGGTTGTAGAGAAATGCATATGTTACTTGAATGAACTTCAGTCATCGAGTGACAACTGATTGTACGTTGCACTGACGCCTACTTCATTCACCCTAAATATCATCTGTCATTGGTCAGTGAAAACGGTCGTTCTAAACTACTCGCCAATCGAGTAGAGCTTGCAACTACTGATACTATTTGCTACTGTACGGAGCCTTGCTGGGGCGCTTTGCATCTCGACAAATTGCACAAGATACTGGCGACTGCAAGATGAACTAGGCACCTGTCTGCTTCTCGATGGCCAACGACGAAACCACCTATGGATTCGATAGACCGTGTATCGATTTTCCACTATGCGTCTCTTACTTGCATCCAATTGGCTGGGAATCATGTGAACAAGTCGCCCAAACACTGGCAAGCTGTGGGCGAAGTGGCTAAAAGATTCGCCTGCCCAATTTCGCTACAATACGAATGCGCTTCTGTTGGCTGCTATACCACCGGAGGATAAGACGGGTGGTCTTATTAATTTGCTCTTTCACTATTATAGTCGTATGGCGGTCCCACACGTGGATTCGTGACCCACGAAAATTAGAACCCGTCCGTGTAGATGAAGTTGCATCATCATCCGACTTCACTTACTTGATAACCAACGAGTTGAGAAACCTACTGCGGGAAGACATTCCTCTAGTGGAAGATGTAGGGGAAGCGTATATGGACGACTGGTTTAAACGGGAGAACGAATTTTGCACCACAAGTAAGCCAGTCACTGTGAAGTATCTTTGCATGCATCATGATTGGGTACTGCCTTTATAAGAGTTATTCGAACTTCATTTTTGTGTCAATTAATAACAGCAGAGGAATTAGGCGCTCGTTTTAATGATCTTTTAGATGGGCCCAGGTAACTATAATTGTACTGCCATTTGTCATACTTTCTGGTTGCATATACACCAGCTTGTCCTGCATAAACCAAAGTATTAAGTTGATTTGGCATCACTTTCCAGTAAGTTCACGGTTCAGCGTATAGTTAGCGAGCATCAGGCTGTAGTGACAAGGAGAGGGTTACCCCTAGATTGAAACGCAGAAGAAAACCAATCACCACAACTCTGTTGGTAACTCAGAACCCCCAAAGATATGCAACAAGATAGTTTATTTAGATAGCCTGTCTGTATGGTTGGCGGCATCCGTATCCGGATTTGCCAGTCACTGTGGCCTCCAGGGGGACAGCCACAGAACACCAACGCCCATAGAGCGATCATGGGTGAATTGTGCTGCACCACACACAGCTCCAACCACACACCCCATATCCAGTGTAAACCCGAAGGAATAAGACCGGGAGGCAGGTGGATGGGAGCCACGTTTCATCAACGGAGCCGGCCCACACTCCTTCACAGGCAAACACAAGCACGCTGTATTTGGGGAATCAAGCGCACACAAGGCGGTGGCTGGACCTTAGTCCGCTCCACACTGTTTGCATGGAATCAGTCTTCGTGCCTAGCACGATCTCAATGATCGTGCACCTCGTCTATTCCAGTAACGATCAATTGTGTCCTGGAGACAGCATAATCGAGGTAGTGAGTAGACTGGTAGGCACCTTGTCAACATGCACATCAAGCGTGGCCACACCGGGGATGTCAAACAACAGCCAACCACATGGAATGAAATACTGAATAAAATAGATCGAATTTACCATACGATATGTCGCTAAATATGCATATGAAATAAAAGGATTATCAAAATAGCCGTGATAGATTCAGGATGGCAGAAAAAGGCATCTAGACACATAGGTAAGAAGGAGAAAAAGATAAGCGAAGTTAACCACCTTTAGTTTAAGAGAGATGTGCAGTTTAATGGATTATTCAAGTGCACATTAAATGAGGTAAGAAAATAACACTGAGACAAGGTAGCAAACACATAATTTGAAAATGGAGACTCAGCATACAAACAAGCAGTGAACCTACAAACGCTGCGCCGGTTCTGCTTACGTCCTCTACAGAACTCGTCGTCGTTTCGATGCCGGAATTGAATGGCCTCGCACGTGGCTTACCAAATCTGCCTGACTCAAGCATTCGCAACCGCATTTGCTACAACACCATGCGCCCGGAGTAGATGGGGTACAGCCTATTGAAGCCCGTCACTTCCGCACTTCCCGCTTGTTCTCTGCATGCATGAGGACTTTCTCGTGCACATCGGCAACGGCCCCCGGTGATCAGGTCGTGCTATGCACGCCCACCTTCGGCCTTCGATTCCCATGAATAAAAAACAAGTTAGTACGTCCTATAGAGGTGGATTCCAGTACTTCAGCAATAATGCTGATTCGCAGCAAAATTCTACATTGCACTTCCGGTGAAAGATGAAAGCGACAGACCTTATACCTTGTGTAGATGGTGAGCCCGAATTTGGCCGCTGTCGAAGCCAGAGCACTAGTCATGTGCTGCAACTCATCCGCGCTGTGTGAAAACAACGCACAGTCGTCAGCAAACAGCAACATATGGATAGTTGTCTCACAGACTAGTGTTCTCGCAACGAAACGGCGGATGTTCAGCAACCCACCATCAATACAGGGCTCCACACGAACACCGTAAGCACAAGCGGCATCAAAACCACAGGACAACATTGCATGAAGATATATATTAAACAGGGCAGGAGCTAACACACAGCCTTGCTTCACACCAGAGACAACTGCAAAGTCATCCGAGGTCTCCACTCAGCTGCACCCTCGCTCGCATACCACTGTGCAGACATTCAAGTAACTTGTCAAATTTATTCGGACAACCAAACTTACCCAACACAAGCCACAATGCCTCGCGGTTCACCGTAACAAATGTTTTGGTGAAATCAACAAACAGTGTGTACAATGGCTGGTGTCGTTCTCTGCACTTCCCCTGCAACTAACAAGCCACAAACATCATATCTGTAGTGCTGCAACCCGAACGGAATCCGCACTTCACTTCCGCCACGTTAGGTTCCACAACCTGACTGACGAGGCGGTTGAGCAGGATTCGTCCAATAACCTTGCCCACACAACTCAGCGAGTTGACGTCATGAAAATTCGTGCAACATTGCTTGCTCAATTGCCATTGTACAGTGGTAGCACAATGGCATCCTTCGGTTCAGGAGGCACCTCCTCCTCAATCCATATGAGTTGCACCAAGTGGTGCAGCGCAGTCACCAATGCCAGCTCGCCAGGTTTCAATATTTCTGTGGGATCCCGTCGGCACCGGCACAATTGCCGTTTCACAACAGAGCAACTGTTATCTACATCTCATCCAGTGTCGACATGTCCACCAGACTCAACTTCACATCGTGCTGCTTCAGGCCGTTCAATGTAGGCTAGTGGGTTTCTGAACGGTTGTTCAAGAGGCGCTCAAAGGGATTTCGCCAGATCTGCATTATGTCTGCAGTCTGTGTGCAGGTAGCGCCTGAACTACCAATCATCAGCGTCCTCAGCGGCTCCAATCTCGATCCATACACCGCCTTCAAGGAGTTGAAGAATTTCTCGAGTTAGCAACGTTCAGCGTACCGTCCCATCTCCTACGCTTTCCCCGTCCATCATGCATTTTAATACGACGGTGCTCTCGGGTAAGTCGCCGTCGAAGTTTGCGAAACTGACTATTCTTCCCCAAGTCACTGGGGTCTGCGACATGTGCAGCAAATGCTGCATTCTTCTCCGACACCAATGGGCAAATCGTCGCACTGTTCTCATCAAACAAATCAGGCCGCTTACAGTTTGCGCGCCCAATGGTTTCCTCGGCAGCAGCTGTCACCTGGTCGCGAATGTGGTGCCACAGATTACCCACTGTGGTTATGCATTCCACATCACACAGGCGTACAGCCATCGCCTTCTCCAGCTCAATACATCTTGCTACAGTTCCGAGGAAGAGAATGTCAAATTTGCACCTTCGATTCACGGCGGGAGTGCAATACATAGATTTACGAAAAGGCATGTACGGTTTGGTCCACACCAATCTGTGATCAGTGCCATACTCAGCTCCACACAGTACACGTGTCATGCGCACTTCACGCATATCATGCTGATGCACGTACATAGTCGAGCAGGTGAGCGTGACCACTCCGTGGGTGAATCCAAGTTGCTATATCACTCTCACTCAGTGCAAACCGAGTGTTCTTGATCGTCAGACCGTGAGTGGCACACAGTGAGAGCAGCCTGTCACCGTTCGCATTCGCTGAACAAATGCCATGCACACCGATGACATCTGTCCACACCGATGCATCACCCTCAACGCGCGCGTTGAAATCACCCAGCAGAAATAGTCGGTCGCTCCTCGGAACAGACCGTATCGCGGAGGATAGCTCAGTGTAGAAGTGATCACGCGTGTCATCCGGAAAACACATGGTCGGACCGTACGTGCTGATAAAAGTGGCAAACTGACCCCTTCCGAGTCGTATGCGAATAGTCATCAGTCGCGCGCTGATGCCTGTTGGTTCACTCATCACCTGGTCATCTAGGCTATCGGATATCGCAAATCCCACCCCATGATCACATGGTGTTGAGGCTGCGTTGCCCACCCAGTAGAATGTGTAGCCAGCACATGCTTCATGCAACTTACCTTGCTCAGCGAGCCGGGTTTCACTGAGCGCCGCAATATCGATGTGGTAGCGCGCCAGTTCCATCGCGACGAGTGCAGTGCGTCGCTCGGGGCGCTTACTTGAGTTCCGGTGCAGTAGTGTGCGCACGTTGCAGGCTTTGATGCTGAGTGCTTTGCGTGCAGGCCTACGATTGCATTGGTGGGCAATCGCACGCGAGATGGTCGTTGTGCTTCGGAGGTTTGCTTGATGGACTCCGCCCAGAGCCATTAGCTCAAGAGCCTGACCCACAAGGCAGTGGAAAGTATACCCAGCTCGGGAATGTTATTGCAGAGACAGATTGGGATCTGCTTGACGGCCGTAACATGCAGCCTTGGAGGTACTGGAACGATTCATTTAAATTTTGCGACCGTAGTATGAGACACCTGCGACCACGGCCAGACGCAGGTGGGTTTTGGCAGGTTTACACCAATTTGACCAAGGGCTGCCTGGCTTGACGTGGGCAGTAGCAAACCATTGAA